TGTGCCAGAAGGCCAAACAGCCCTTCCCAGGGCACTGCTCACAGCAGACCCCCTTCACTGCATTCTCAGATGTCTGCACAGTTGAGATTCGGTTTCCCTGTTATGCCAGTTCCAAGTTATTTTTTGCCCAGTTATGGGTTTTCTCCTTTTCTGCCAGCACCCAAAAAGGCTAGTGGCAAAATCCTGATCATTTTTCATGTGTCCTGATCTCTGCTGGCCTGGACAAAACCAGGTAACTGGGCTGCAACACACTTGTGCTGGGCTTTGTCTTCCACCCAGGGATTTTGAAGTTGTTTTTTTTTTATTTTTGATCCAGGGAAGACTAATGATTCACACCCCCCCAATTACATTTTTTCTTTTCAAATTAATAGCCAGAGCCTTCTGGTGTTGCAGAGTTTCTCAGATGGAGCCTGTTTGCCCTTGTTCTCTGTGACTCAGCGTGTTTCGCAGCCCTTCAGTGCTTGATCACTCACCTTGCTCCATCTGATCTGTTTGTAGAGGGACAGAAAACTAGGCTTTATAGCAACACTTGAAAATATGTTGTTTTTCTTATTGAGAGCAAAGGTCTCAATATTGCTCTTTCCCTTAAGCAGTATTTTTCAACGCTGCCTTTGCTGGCATTGCCATTGGGATGCTCCCCAGCTGGCAAGACCTGGAAGATGCAGTGGCCAGCTGTGCACCATTGGGTTGCAGGTGACAGCAGTGCTCAGCCCTGCCTACCATTTCCCTACAGCAGAGTGAGTTTTTAGCTGCCTAGGTCCAGGTTCCTCACCCCAGCCTTCCTGGCAGCCCTCTCTTAGTGCCTCATCTCCCGGGGACAGCAACCACTGCCTTTCTTCTGCCACCAAGCTAGGGCATGGGGTTTCTGCACCCTCCATCTCACCCATGGGGGACCTGCCCAGCGGGAGCACAGGGATGCTGGAGCTGCAGCCTGATGTGCCCCAGCACAGTTCCTGCAGCTGCAGCACAGTCACAGAATCACAGAATCACAGAATCTTAGTGGTTGGAAGGGACCTCCGAGATCATCGAGTCCAACCACATTAAAAAAAAAAAAAAAAAAAAAAACATCTAAATCTCCCTTGCCGCAACTTTAGACCATTTCCTCTGGTCTTGTCATTCATCCTTTGGGAGAAGAGGCCAACCCCTGCCTCTCTGCACCCTCCTTTCAGGGAGTTGTAGAGGGCAATGAGGTCTCCCCTCAGCCTCCTCTTCTCCAAACTAAACATGCCCAGTTCCCTTAGCCTCTCCTCATAGGACTTGTTCTCCAGACCCCTCCCCAGCTTGATGGCTCTCCTCTGGACACAATGTCCTTCCTGTAGTGAGGGGCCCAAAACTGAACACAGCCCTCGAGGTGAGGCCTCACCAGTGCCCAGTACAGAGGCACGATGACTTCCCTACTCCTGCTGACCACGCTATTCCTGATACAGGCCAGGATGCCATTGGCCCTCTTGGCCACCTGGGCACACTGCTGGCTCATGTTCAGCCTGCTGTCCACTAACACCCCCAGGTCCTTTTCTTCCAGGCAGCTTTCCAGCCACTCTTCCCCAAGTCTGTAGCTTTGCCTGGGGTTGTTGTGACCAAAATGCAGGACCCGGCACTTGGCCTTATTAAACCTCATCCCATTGTCCTTGGTCCATCGATCCAGTCTTTCCAGATCCCTCTGTATAGCTCAGCCCAGCTGAGCTGGGGACAAACAGCAGCACAACACTGAGAGACACCACGGTGCAGGGCACGGGGCTGGGACAGACTGTGTCAGCCCCACAGGCAACGAACCCCCCCAAAGACATCTCAGGGTGGTAGCTGTTTCCTCACCTGTAGTAGCAGTGTCTGCACGTCCACTGCAAGGAGAAGGTTGTTTTTCCTGGCCTTTGAGAAAGAGAGGTGAAAGGAGGTGAGCAATAAATCAGTGCTGGTTCTGCCACTGCCTGGGGTGGGACACGTGGACAGCAGAGGTGAGACACACAGGGCTGAAGCATCATTAGGAGCTCCCCACCTTCTGCAGATACACCACCTGTTTCTAGGATACTCAGCGGTTTTACATTTAATGAGCATGTAGCTTTGCTCCTCTTCCCCCTGTGCGAGCTGAGATGCTTTTCCGGAGATTCCAACTGCGTCTCATGGTGGGGGCAGCCACTGTGCCAATCACTTCCTCAGGAACCCCAGGCATTAATCCTGCTGCATTCAAAAAAAGAAAGAAAGAAAAAACCCACAGTGTTCCCCCAGCCGGTTTTCCTCCTACCGTGGCTTCCTGTTATTCCCAAACTCCTGGTATTTTAAGTTGTTGAGTGACTTCACACCCACTTTGAGAGTGATGAAGTCTCATCCTGGGGAAATGGTGGCAGCACCACTCTAGTAACAAAATCATTACATCAATTGCCTTTTCAGTAATGCCATCTCTAGTGAAATGTCACTGATACCTACAGTTTCATCTCCAGAGCCTGCAGCCTTTCAGCAGCGATGTGGTTCTTGACAGAGAAGGAGGAAACCAGCAGATGGCTGAGCCCCAATGGTGCACAGCCCATGAAAAAGGGAAAAAAGAGAAAACTCAGCTTAGGTAAAGGAGCAGACTTTCAACTGATGGACACCCAGTACCTCACCTCCATCTATTAAGTAAGCAGGTGATAAAGCCATATAGACCTCAACTGATGTTTGCCCCATAAAATAAACCAAGCAATGTAGAACCCTAAAACGTATGTTTATATCGAAATAAATCATCTAGTTATTTGCTTCTGGGACATATAAATCAGATTTGTTTTCACAACATGTTGAGCATCACATTATCATCGGCAAAACAGTAATAGAAAAGCCCATAAAAAAGACCTCCCTGGAGAACTATTAGATAACAGATTACCCTGCAGATAGCTGTGGAGAGACGCCCCAGCGGGTCTCATCTAATCAGCTGCTCTGCTGGCAGAGGATGATGAAGAAACCTTGGTGGATCTCGGCAGGTTACAAAATGCGTGTGAATAAAGTTGCTGTAGGGCTACTCCTGGCAATGTCCTCTGACTTTCCACTCAGATCAGCAGCAAGTGCTGCTGCAGAATGGCCAGCCCAGAAGGAGTTAAACCAGATGGTCAGCTCTACAGCTGCTTGGACAAATGTGGAGAGGGAGGTGGTAGGGTCATGGGGAGAGCCCTACTCCGAAGCCCTTGGGTGCTCCTGCTCTGCTAATGCCTTCTTGTCTGGCCTCGAGCACATCACTTACAATGAAATATAGACGTGAACTGGAAGCCTGACAGTTATTCTCCACCAGCTGTCCAGATCTCTAAAGTTTTCAGGGAGCATTGGTGTCTTAATCATGTGGGCCATCTTAATTGCAGGAGCCCAACAACCAAGACCTTACACGTTCCACCAGCTTTTGAAGTGCCACAATGGATCCACTAGGGCTCCTGTTAATATCTTCCTCTTTGCATCCTTCATCTCTGCTTTAGGTATGACCAACATGAAGACAAGACATTGGAGGGGGCAAAGGTGTTTTGTCCCCCTGCCCTTTGCTGACTACAGGTGCACAAACGAGGGTGGTGGGGAGCCCTTTGGCCAAGGAGCAGCTGGCTCACTTTGCCTTAGGCTGCTTGGGGGTGTTGTGCTTGTCCTCACCTGTGAGATGTTTGTTTGCAGTGTGACAACATTCACCAGCTGGGGCATAAATCATTCAACAAAACCCAGGGGCTTCTCATAACATCCCCTTGCAGCTGCATTTTTATCTCCTGAGTCCTTCTTGTCCCAGATCATGTCTCCTCTTCTCTCCTCCTGGACTCCACCCCGAGGCAGCAGGTCCCTTGGTTGTGGGACCATGCCTGGACTTCCTGCAAACCTAAGCTGGGGAGAAGTCACCAAAAGTGCTAAGGCCTGTGCTGGAGGTGAGCAGGAGCAAGCACCCAGGGCTTGCTGAGCTGGTCTGCAACACTCAGCTGCTTTACCCTTTACCTCTGTGGCCAGGCATGTCCTTGTGTAGATACAGGGATCTGATGTTGTCTCCTGTAGTCCATCATCCCTCTGGACTGAGGTGAGCACCTGTGTCCTATAGCAGTTGTCCTGCCTTACAAAGGAGGACCCACCTCTGAAAGGCCACCAGCACCAGGGCTAATCTCACTCTGTGCTGAAGGAATGTAATTTTCCTTCTTAATTTTTCATTTGTGTGTGCTGAGAGTCTGCTCTCTAGCATCAGGAATAGTCTGAGTAAGTCTGGAAACCTATAGCAGCTCCAGGAAGCACAAGAAATTATTTTTGCCTGTGTGTTTATCCTTTTCATTTTTTCTCTACTTTATTGCTGGAGTCTGGTTTCTTTCCTCACTTGGAGAAAGGCAGCCCAGCACTGAGGAGACCAATTTTTACTGGGCTTGGAGTGTTGGTGCTCCACCAAAAGTTTGTACTGTGGAGCTTTGAGCTGGTAAAAGGATAATTTCTCCTCAGTAAGAAACAGACCAGTTACTACTGAAGCAGCCTAAAGCCCACCTCGGCGAAGACAGCAAGCCCCTAGGCCTAAGTTCAAAGCTTTGGTGAAAACCATGATCTCAGGCTTCTGCTCTTCTCCTTGTGGACACATAAATATTGGATGCATGATTTAGCTGTCTTTTGCTCCGATTGCTTTCTTTACTAACTTCATTAAGTTTACAAAGTCTCCTTCACGTTCCCCTGCACTGGCTGGCTCTGCCCCAACGAGCTAGCCAAGCACAGCAGAAACAAACTCACCTTTCCAAAGGGTAAGACTCCAAGAGGCACAAGCTGGGTCCCACACCTCCTTTGGAAGGGAGATGCACAGCAACAGAAGGTGGGATTTTCAAATGCTCCCGTTTTACCACAAGTGCTGCATGCCATTTAGCCTGCCTGGTTATCACATCTCTGCTGCTGCTCTCCGTGCAGCCCCGTAGCAATTCCCAACACAATCACAGAGGTGTCGTGGAGTCCCATCAGGGTAAAGACTGAAATGAACTCCTGCTCTCAGGAGAGAAGTGCACTGAAAACAAATAAAAGTGGCGTATCCAGGGCACAGGCAAATAAACAGCATAAACAGGTAAACTTTATTTAGATTTAATTTTGACATTGAGCACAGAAATAAGCACAGAAAGAAAGAAGTACCAAAATACCAAACTCATAGCATATAAAATAATCCAATATATTTCATGTTTAGTCAAATATTTCTACAACACATTGGTGGGATTTCCCTGGGCAACCCAGCCCTGTAAATATATATATATATATATAGCTGCATTATATAAAATACTATATGTAGAGAAAGCACTGAAACTTACCACCAAAATAGAAAATAGCTCAAAATACGGAGAGTTCAGACTTTCTAGTCATACCCAGTATTGAAAAGAGGTTCAAACCTACTGCAGGAGATAGAGCTCCAGCTGAGATGCCACGGCAGGCATGAGATGGGGTTACTTTGCTGGCCAAAGCTAGCAGGAGCCTGGCTCACGGGACAAGCTCCAAACCTGAGCCCATGGTCATGAAGTGACAAGAGCTACTGGTCTGAGCCCAGGACTGTTGGGACATCACCTGAATGGACATGCCAGTGACGATGTTGGTGCTTGTGGCTGACGGGGTGCACCGCTGGATGCCTGGGAGAGCGGTGTGATAATGTCCACAGGGAGGCTTAAGCACATGAGCAGCAGCTTGGACCCCCGTAGAAGACCCCACAGCCCATCTGACCCGATGGGCCAAAGGGTTTTTCCTAAGTAAGAGCTTCTGGAGCAGCACTCCCACCCGTATGGCACACAGGAGTGTGGGGATTTGGCTGCAATGGGACTGGCCATCGGCAGATGCACATGACAAGGGTATTGTTCTTAATTTTCAAGGTCTCTCTTCACAGATGACAGTAATTAGTTCCCTGGAGGTGTTCAAAAGACCCAACCCAAAAGAGGGTTGATGTAGTGCTGGGAGGTATGGTTTAGTGATGGTGATGCTCCTTGTTTGTTGTGGGGTGTCTATTTTTGTCAGTCAGGTTGACGGTTGGACAAGATGATCTTTAAGGTCCCTTCCAACCTAGAAGATTCTGTGATTCTGTGATTAGCTTTTAAAAAATCTAGAAAGCTACTTTTGTATGAGGCCAGCCCCCCCCCCATGCAATACCACCCCTTTGTTCTGGTTTGAAGCGAGCAGCGCATGAAGCAGCAACCCTGCTGCTGCAGGACAGGAACACCAAATGAAGAGCTTGTCCTGGCAAAAGCTCCCACCTACCCTGAGGGTGATCAAGGTTAGTGTTGTACGTGACATCCCAGGCAATTTGTAAATAGATATAAAAAATATGGCATTTCTGACAGCAAGACTGAAGTCCAGCTGGAGTCGATAACCCACACCAGCGCGTAGCCCCGGTGCTGCTGGTGCTTCAGGCTGGGAGCTGGGTGGGCAGGTGGAGGCACCAGTCCCAGGGGCAGGGGAGAACAGAGGGCACATTGGGGCCGTTTGGTTCCTGATGATACACAAATGAGGTTCTGGATCTGCTGCCTCCAGACAACATACTTTTGTGCTTGTTTTGTTGCTTGTTGGCTCAACACAATGATTGATTTTCCCGACTACTCCCAGTAGGAAGGCAGCCGAGTCCTCCCTGGAGGATCCCTCCTCGGGGGGTTTCGAGCCCCAGTGAGGCAGCACCACGATGGGCTGCCCCTGTGCCAGCACCAAACCCACGGTAAGCTGGGGGCTGCAGGAGATCACCCCAGGAGCCCTCCCAAACCCCCTTTCTATGTTTCTGCCACGCCACTGCAGGGAAGCCCATAACCCGTTAATAATTTTTATAATTGCTCTTTCTCATCAAGCCAGCAGTTGCATCCCTAACTACACGGCAACGATGCTATGCTAATAGGATGAGCTATAATTCCTGGGTGGTATTAGCATTGTTATTTTACTCTGAGTAACCTCCTGGTAATGGCCATTCGAATGTGGCAATATCAATTAAGTGAATATAAATGCATAGCCCCTGGAAAAATCATTAATACAAATTTCATTCTGATAGCCTCTAATCACAGCTAAATACAATTACTCATACGAGGCCACTATAAAAAGTATTTTTCTCATCAGAAGAAATTCATGAGGTTTTCCCAACTGTTTGTAATAAAGAGGACACTATATAGAAAAGTCCAGAAAATAAGCACACATTTGTTTCTCAAAACCCATAGATAAACATGACAATATCTCTAAATTACTGGCTACTGAACAGGATTTCATTTAGCTCTACTCAAACTGTAGCCTAGTATAGATGTTTTCAAAGCAGCGTGTTGCTGTTTCATCTGGAACAGCTGCACAGGATTTCTTTGATGTCAAGCTCTTTGCGTTTCAATTCCTCTTTATGCCTCCGAACTGCTGAAACAGGAAGGAAAAAACATTCAATAAAAGAGGTGTTTTTTATGGAGGCGGGGGTGGGGGGGGGAGAAGGGGGGAAAGAAGCAATATTTGGCCTTGAATGCGGTACCAAGAAATAATTCATCTCTGCAGTGGCGACAGAACCGCACTCTGCCTCTTGCAGTTTCAAAGGAGAGAGGGAAAACATGCTGTGGTTTTGTGCTGTATCAGGTGCTCCCTGGGCTCCTCGCTGGCAGAACCTGTGGCCAACAGCCATCCTGGGTGTCCACGCAGCGGGTGGGTGCCCTGAGGACACAGTGGGTGGACGTGCACCCTCATCCTGACTCCCTGCACCGGGCCAGCCCTCGTGTACTCCCCCCACAAGGAGCATAAATACAATGAGCCAAGGAAAGTCTGCTCCTTCCTTGCTCTCACCCAGGCTCCTCGACCTCGGCGGTGCCCAGCACAGCAGGCTCCACCTGTACGATGGCTGCAAGATGTCCAAAATGACTGTGGCTGGTCACAGCAAGGCAGCTACAGAAGGTGCTGCCCTACACCATTCACCAAAGATGCTTTGCTTATGCAGTAAGCTCATGTTTTTTAGATGGCCGTGTCCCCAGCACCCATTGCTGAGCAGCCACAAGTGCTGCCTGTGAAGCCAGAGAGGCACGTTAAGTGCAAATCCCACTCTCAGGTGCCTGCTGGTTTCATAAGTCAGGGACAGGAGCCAGTGATATGTCTCTTTTTCACAGTCCTCAGCAAGGAGGAGCCCCACACAGCAACTGGAAGGAGGGGAATGGCCCTGCCTGTCTGCCAGCACAAGCTACACACATTGAGGAGGTACCAGAGTGGACAGCACAGATTTCTCTTTCCATAGGGTGATAAGGCTGAAAAAGTCCGGGAGCAGCAGGCAGGAGGGCAGCTGGGGAGAAATGGCAATGTCGTTATCTGCAGGCAGGATCTCTCTCTCTCTCCTGCACTTTGCAAAACATTCATGTGGGTTTATTTGCCTTGCTTCGTAAATATTTTCCAGAAAAAGGTTTGTTTGGGAACACTCTCAAAGCAGCACTAAAGGAGTCTTCCTAGTGACCTTCAAAAAGTACATTTCCTAAGGCATTTTCCTGGGCATGTCTTTTCAGACACACACCACATCCCCGCTTTGCTGTACAGTCCTTACTGGGAAAGAAAAAAATAATAAAAGGCAGCAAAAGCTGAAAAAGGCTGCTGAAAAATCCAGAGCCTGTGTTTCAAAAGTCATTGAGCACACACAGCTCACCTCCCCAGCCAACTTCTTTCCATAGGGTGATAAGGCTGAAAAAGTCCGGGAGCAGCAGGCAGGAGGGCAGCTGGGGAGAAATGGCAATGTCGTTATCTGCAGGCAGGATCTCTCTCTCTCTCCTGCACTTTGCAAAACATTCATGTGGGTTTATTTGCCTTGCTTCGTAAATATTTTCCAGAAAAAGGTTTGTTTGGGAACACTCTCAAAGCAGCACTAAAGGAGTCTTCCTAGTGACCTTCAAAAAGTACATTTCCTAAGGCATTTTCCTGGGCATGTCTTTTCAGACACACACCACATCCCCGCTTTGCTGTACAGTCCTTACTGGGAAAGAAAAAAATAATAAAAGGCAGCAAAAGCTGAAAAAGGCTGCTGAAAAATCCAGAGCCTGTGTTTCAAAAGTCATTGAGCACACACAGCTCACCTCCCCAGCCAACTTACTGCTCTCCTGCCGCGGCGCTGCCACTGCCCACAAACGGGATTTCTTCCCTGTCCATCTTCCCCAGCACGAGGTGGTGCTTCTCCATGTTTATGATACACTGTAGAGAATAAACGCCTTGAGGTAAGAGGGAAAACTGCAATCCACAGTGGTCCCAGCTCCCCCAGTGTGGGTAAAAGCCCTGCTGGGAAACCCTTACCTTCAGAGATTTCAGCGTCTGCAGCCCAAAGGAGAAGGGTCTCTCATTGTCTTCTGAAAAATAGGAACATTCAGATTTATACATTCAAAATGTTCTCCCATGCTTTTTTCTCAGTGACTCCATCCTTCCTTCACGGCTGCTCTGCTAAACAGAACCCTGTTTGTAAAGGGACCGAGTTATTCTGGAGGGGAACGTGACCAAAGAAGCGCAGGTAGATGTGCCTGCAGGAAGACACTGTGGTCGCTCCATCAGCACAGCAGACCACAGCCCTGCTGAACTTATCCTCCCTCCCTCCCTCTGAAGGGCCAACCAGGGACTTTTGCTGCAGAAAATCAGTATTTCTGGTTTAATTTCATTTTTTTCCCCTGGGGTAGGAGGGAGTAGAGCCCCAACCCGCACACAGAGGAGCAGAGGAGCAGACCCACACTCACCCACGACGAAGGCAGAGCACTCCACGGGGACTGCTCCCACTGTGAGGGCCAGGCACTCGATCTGGCCGATCGCCTTCACCTTGGATGGCAGTGAAACCATCTCGTCTTCACCGGGGAGTGCTTTGAGATGCTCCTTTAACCTGCACGTTGAAAACACTTCTGACATGAAAACGGCCACGGTTCGGCTGCTCCAGCAAGGAGCAAATGGCATTTGGAGAGTACTTACACTGTAAGTGCTCTCAGCTTGCTGGCATTATCACTCTGTTATTGGAAAAGTGCTTTCTTGACAGGTTTTCTGTGCTGCTCTGCATACAGCCAGCAGTCTGCACCCACGCCACACCATAGCACAACCCACCATGCAGCCCTGGGGCACCATCAGCCCTTGTCCAAGGAGAGCTCCTTACTGGATTTTGCATTTTACCCAAGGAATCTTTTTTCCTACATTTCCTCAAGACTTGGGGAAGCTGCTGATTTAAAATTACCTCTAATGCAGTGTGGGTGTAAGGAAGAGATACTCCAGCTCCCACCAGCGGAGCCACTGACACCACGTCCCCATGTCTCACCGTCAGGGCAGCACGCCCAGTCCACCCAGGGTGCTGCTGCTGGGTTTATTCAGAGAAAATGGGAACAGATCAATCACATCCAGCCCAAGAAAAGGGAAGGAGCGTCAGCGATATCTCAGATACAGTCGTTTCTTCTATCCGCCCCCCATGAGCTAGTCTGACAACGCTGATTAATTATTTAGCTTCAGTTTCTCTTTTAAACGGAATGAGAATCTGATGGAAAGGCAGTTTGAGGTGAGGATCTCTCCCTCGGATGAAAGCTGTGTCACTTTCAGCTATTTGAGGTACCTTTGTGCTAAGCTGCATTGCAGCAGTGCATGTGTGTGTGTGTGTGTCTGTCTGTCCATCCATCCTGGAGGGGACCAGCCCCCCATCACAGGCAGAGGCCCAGGACTGAGACAGGGGTTGCCCACGCTGTTAAACACAGGTACAAGGACCAGGAGAGGGAGCAGACAGAAGGACCTGGATCACCTTTGCCACGTCCCTTAAGGACTGGCCTTAAAAATGCTGGCAGGAACATATCAAGAGGAAGTTTGCAAGCTCCTTGGCCCTGAGACTGGTTGGAGTGGGTTTTGTTTGAGTGCAACCAGCTCCAACAGCTTCTCTATCCACTTAAGGGAAGATGTGGTCTTTGGCTGTGGTCTCTGTTGTCCCCTATTTGTTCCCACCACAGGGCACAGGTTGTGGTGCTGGAGCCAGGAGCTCACCAGAGCTGAGATACAGCTGGAGATGGCTTCTTGCTCTGGCACCCACTGACCCAGACAGTTTTCCCAGGGCTACAATGTGTGTGTGTGTGGTTGGAAAGGGGTGGAGGGGGTGTGTACAGAGAAAAGCCACCTTTAAGGAAACACTTTTCCATAGCTGAGCCTGACCCAAGGACAGACAGATAGGACATGGGCAATGCCTGGCTGAAAGATAGTCAGGAAACTGCAGTGAGGTGAGGAGAACCACTGATGCATGATACAGTGACACATCTCAGAGGTGGGTTTGAAAGCAGAAAGTCCCCAGCAGGCTGCAGTGACCAGAGCTGCTCACATAACTGTTACACCTCTGAGGGGCATTTCCTAGAATCACAGAATGGTTAGAGTTGGAAGGGACCTCAAAGATCATCTAGTTCCAGCCTCCCTGCCATGGGCAGGGACACCTCCCACTGAACTAGGATGCTCTAAATTAGAGAATAAATGCCTTGAGGTAAGAGGGAAAACTGCAATCCACAGTGGTCCCAGCTCCCCCAGTGTGGGTAAAAGCCCTGCTGGGAAACCCTTACCTTCAGAGATTTCAGCGTCTGCAGCCCAAAGGAGAAGGGTCTCTCATTGTCTTCTGAAAAATAGGAACATTCAGATTTATACATTCAAAATGTTCTCCCATGCTTTTTTCTCAGTGACTCCATCCTTCCTTCACGGCTGCTCTGCTAAACAGAACCCTGTTTGTAAAGGGACCGAGTTATTCTGGAGGGGAACGTGACCAAAGAAGCGCAGGTAGATGTGCCTGCAGGAAGACACTGTGGTCGCTCCATCAGCACAGCAGACCACAGCCCTGCTGAACTTATCCTCCCTCCCTCCCTCTGAAGGGCCAACCAGGGACTTTTGCTGCAGAAAATCAGTATTTCTGGTTTAATTTCATTTTTTTCCCCTGGGGTAGGAGGGAGTAGAGCCCCAACCCGCAGGCAGAGGAGCAGAGGAGCAGACCCACACTCACCCACGACGAAGGCAGAGCACTCCACGGGGACTGCTCCCACTGTGAGGGCCAGGCACTCGATCTGGCCGATCGCCTTCACCTTGGATGGCAGTGAAACCATCTCGTCTTCACCGGGGAGTGCTTTGAGATGCTCCTTTAACCTGCATGTTGAAAACACTTCTGACATGAAAACGGCCACGGTTCGGCTGCTCCAGCAAGGAGCAAATGGCATTTGGAGAGTACTTACACTGTAAGTGCTCTCAGCTTGCTGGCATTATCACTCTGTTATTGGAAAAGTGCTTTCTTGACAGGTTTTCTGTGCTGCTCTGCATACAGCCAGCAGTCTGCACCCACGCCACACCATAGCACAACCCACCATGCAGCCCTGGGGCACCATCAGCCCTTGTCCAAGGAGAGCTCCTTACTGGATTTTGCATTTTACCTAAGGAATCTTTTTTTCCTGCATTTACTCAAGACTTGGGGAAGCTGCTGATCTAAAATTACTCCTAATGCAGTGTGGGTGTAAGGAAGAGATAACTCCAGCTCACACCAGCGGAGCCACTGACACCACGTCCCCGTGTCTCACCGTCAGGGCAGCACGCCCAGTCCACCCAGGATGCTGCTGCTGGGTTTATTCAGAGAAAATGGGAACAGATCAATCACATCCAGCCCAAGAAAAGAGAAGGTGTGTCAGCGATATCTCAGATACAGTCATTTCTTCTATTCACCCCCCATGAGCTAGTCTGACAATGCTGATTAATTATTTAGCTTCAGTTTCTCTTTTAAACGGAATGAGAATCTGATGGAAAGGCAGTTTGAGGTGAGGATCTCTCCCTCGGATGAAAGCTGTATCACTTTCAGCTATTTGAGGTACCTTTCTGCTAAGCTGCATTGCAGCAGTGCATGTGTGTGTGTGTCTGTGTGTCTGTCCATCCATCCAACTCCAGCTCACACCAGCGGAGCCACTGACACCACGTCCCCGTGTCTCACCGTCAGGGCAGCACGCCCAGTCCACCCAGGGTGCTGCTGCTGGGTTTATTCAGAGAAAATGGGAACAGATCAATCACATCCAGCCCAAGAAAAGGGAAGGAGCGTCAGCGATATCTCAGATACAGTCGTTTCTTCTATCCGCCCCCCATGAGCTAGTCTGACAACGCTGATTAATTATTTAGCTTCAGTTTCTCTTTTAAACGGAATGAGAATCTGATGGAAAGGCAGTTTGAGGTGAGGATCTCTCCCTCGGATGAAAGCTGTGTCACTTTCAGCTATTTGAGGTACCTTTGTGCTAAGCTGCATTGCAGCAGTGCATGTGTGTGTGTGTCTGTGTGTCTGTCCATCCATCCTGGAGAGGTCCAGTCCCCCCTCACAGGCAGAGCCCCAGGACTGAGACAGGGATTGCCCACGCTGTTAAACACAGGTACAAGGACCAGGAGAGGGAGCAGACAGAAGGACCTGGATCACCTTTGCCACGTCCCTTAAGGACTGGCCTTAAAAATGCTGGCAGGAACATATCAAGAGGAAGTTTGCAAGCTCCTTGGCCCTGAGACTGGTTGGAGTGGGTTTTGTTTGAGTGCAACCAGCTCCAACAGCTTCTCTATCCACTTAAGGGAAGATGTGGTCTTTGGCTGTGGTCTCTGTTGTCCCCTATTTGTTCCCACCACAGGGCACAGGTTGTGGTGCTGGAGCCAGGAGCTCACCAGAGCTGAGATACAGCTGGAGATGGCTTCTTGCTCTGGCACCCACTGACCCAGACAGTTTTCCCAGGGCTACAATGTGTGTGTGTGTGGTTGGAAAGGGGTGGAGGGGGTGTGTACAGAGAAAAGCCACCTTTAAGGAAGCACTTTTCCATAGCTGAGCCTGACCCAAGGACAGACAGATAGGACATGGGCAATGCCTGGCTGAAAGATAGTCAGGAAACTGCAGTGAGGTGAGGAGAACCACTGATGCATGATACAGTGACACATCTCAGAGGTGGGTTTGAAAGCAGAAAGTCCCCAGCAGGCTGCAGTGACCAGAGCTGCTCACATAACTGTTACACCTCTGAGGGGCATTTCCTAGAATCACAGAATGGTTAGAGTTGGAACATGGGCAATGCCTGGCTGAAAGATAGTCAGGAAACTGCAGTGAGGTGAGGAGAACCACTGATGCATGATACAGTGACACATCTCAGAGGTGGGTTTGAAAGCAGAAAGTCCCCAGCAGGCTGCAGTGACCAGAGCTGCTCACATAACTGTTACACCTCTGAGGGGCATTTCCTAGAATCACAGAATGGTTAGAGTTGGAAGGGACCTCAAAGATCATCTAGTTCCAGCCTCCCTGCCATGGGCAGGGACACCTCCCACTGAACTAGGATGCTCTAAATCCCATCCAACATGGCCTTAAAGACTCCCAGGAATGGGACCTCCATGACATCTCTGGGCAGCCTGTTCCAGTGCCTCACCACCATTACAACAAAGAATTTCTCCCTAATATCTAATCCGTATTCCTTACCCTGCAGCAACCTGCAAGCTACCCCCACCTTTTTCCTTTTCTTACCCTGCAGCAACCTGCAAGCTACCCCCACCTTTTTCCTTAGAGGTGAGGGAAAGAGCTTGAAGAGCACCATGACAAGATGCAAAAAGATTCTTTTTTTAAAAATGAGAGGAATTGAGCCTGTGTGTTGAGCACACACATGCTGCTTTTAGGCACTGAGCCCCCAGAGACCTGAGCAGCAGAGCCTGTCCCCAGAGCTGCTGAGCCTCAGCTGTGGGCAGCAGCACCCAGCACAGCACACTGCAGGCCCCCTCCTGCTCCGACAGGAACACGAGTGAAATCACCTCACACGCCTCTTCCCTGCTGCTTCCCAGGGCTGGATTTAAACAAAACTTGTGTTTTATCGTTGCCACACGCCCTGGACTGCTTTGAAGTAAAACATCCTGGAGCAGTGCCTGCCTGTCGCAGGGGACCTACCACAGCAACAGCAAAGCGAGCCAGGCATCAAAGCCCTGCTTTTAACCTGCTTTGTTAATCTGGCTTCAGCTTCTGCTGCAAACCCAAACAGCAAAGGAGCTGGGGGAAGCTGCCTGCTGTCACAGAGCATCGCTGTGCGGCTCAGACACGTCGAGCAACCATTACAGAGCACCTTGCAAGATGAGGCCCCTCCGAATGCATTGCCATCAGCCTAAGCCAGGCTGAGCAGTGCCACAGTTTGGGACAGGTTTGTAGTAAGCACAGCCACCTTCCAGCCTCTAAACACCCTTGTGCAAAGTAATTACTGTCTGGACAGAAAACAGGCACCATTCATTGAGGGCCATGCGGTAGTAGGAGTGCAACTGCAATTGGTTTTTGTGTAATCGCTGCAAGTTGGTGATAAAAAGCAATGAATCCAATTAATAAAATGAATAAAAAGCAATTAATCCAATGAATAAAATGAATAAAAAGCAATTAATCCAATTAATAAAGTGCCAACATCTCCTTGATGCCCCGTGAGGCGATGCCTGATCCTGCTCCTTAGAGATCAACGGGAGCTTTGCTGCAAATGGCTGGCAGTCAGCTCCTCCAACACTACATAAATACATTTCCTTTCCCTTCAATCGGGAGAAATCTGTTATTGGGAGTATCATCAGAATCCACATTTCAAGCATATACATGTACACAGCTGCTTTACACCCGGTGCTGGGGCCAGCACTGCTGGAGCCACCACCGGGAGCGGGGACTTGAGGGATGGTCTGGGCTGACCCAGCCCCATGCCTGCCCCAGGGACACAGAGGGCCAGGGTTAGGGGGTGGTTTCAGCTATTTCATGAGGTCCTGAGTGACAAGCAGGCAGGCATTGAAAAAATTACAAATGCATCCAACCCTCAGAAGGGGTTTACTCCAAGGTTGGTACAAGTGCCATTCTGTTTCAGCTCCCTGCAAGGACATTTAAGAATAAGTCAGGATTTGGTTGTAAGAGGAGGGTCTTGCCCAGGCACAGCCCAAAGGTCTCCCATCACTGGCATGAGAGAAGCCCCAGCCCCAGGAGCACTGCCTGTGCTGCTGGGTGCCATGAGTTCCCACAAAACAAACCCCCAGCTGGATATTTACCCTAGCCTGTCCAGGCAGGCAGAAGACATGAGGTTGTGCTGTGAGCCGGTGTCCACCACGGCGTTCAGCTCCTTCCCCGCACACTGCAAGAGCAAGCAGAGATGGGAGATGATGTGTGGGATGAGCACGGAGTGTCCAGGGTCTCTGCTCCACACAGGCTGGTCCCCACCAAAATGCCACCCTCTCCCAGCTCCACTGCATGCTCAGTGCCTGCAGGGTATTGCCTTCCCCACCCCAGGCACCCAAGAGTTGGCTTTTGAGCTGTTTTTTCAATAAGGTGGTTGGTGCTGCAAAACAACATGGTCCATGCTCAGTGTCCACAGGGTATTGCCTCCCCCACCCCAGGCACCCAAGAGTTGGCTTTTGAGCTGTTTTTTCAATAAGGTGGTTGGTGCTGCAAAACAACATGGTCCTGAGCCCTTCCTGGCAGCATTTGCCCCTGCAGAGAGAAGAAAGGACAGCCCCAGGCAGGAGGGAATGTTGTGGAGAGCACACATTTTTCATAAAGAACATGGGGGTAAGGAGGAGAAATGTGAAATTACTCTTGGGGAAAGAAAAGAGGGATGACACTTGATAGGCTATGAGCACAGGGATATCACCATAGATAATTACTCCCTGGCGTTTCAGCATGCTGTCCCAGCCTGGCTGCTCCCTCTGCCCTGATGCCCAAGGGAAGGCATCCATTAGACCAGTTTTCTCTGTGATAACCAGGTGGGAATCCATGCCACAGCATCCCTGAGCTGCAGAGGGAGAGCATCCCCACAGCTGTACCAGCCCCTGTGGAGAGCAACCCGAATCAGGAAACACAGAGAACAAGAACCCAGCTTGAGGCTGTCAGAAATAATATATGGGGGAAAAAAGACCAGAAAGCTTGGGAAGGACTATTACCTGGCATCTCACCACTATGAGCTCCTCGTCCTCTGTTTTCCCTGAGCTTCCCAGTTTGGTTTGATTCAGCTTGTTGGTCTGCGCTGAGATATCACCCTTCAGAGCCCAGCTGCCTCGGCTGCCTCGTAATTTTGATAAATTTGTCTCCATCAGGCGCTTCTGCAGGATATTATGTGGTTGCTTTAAGAAGAAACACACAAGGAAGAGCAGGGTGAAGTCAGAGGAAAGCCATGAAGTGACCTGTGTCACCAGCCTGCTTGTGGTGCCCGCTGGCCAGCGCTGCTCTTGCAGGAGGGATGCCCCCAAAGTCTCACTCTTCCCAATTCCCAGACTACACGTACTCTTCCTAGCTTACATCTATTTGAGCTCCTGCCAGCTCAGGCTTACCCAGCTTTGACTAGAGAGAACTACTTTGTATTTGGAAAGGGAATAATTCTTTTAAAATATTAAGTGGAATATTAATATTAAGCGGAATTTGGAGGGATGCCTTTCTTTTTCCAAACTCAAGTTCAAGATTTGATTTCACATTGGGATCAAAACAAGTCAGGCTTTTCCAAGCTGGTGTTTCAGCTTTAATTGCCTGCAGCTGTTGGTAAAGATATTGGGAATTCTGCAGTGATGCGAAAAGTTAAGAGATAACAAATTACCTTTCCAATTACATGCACCACCAAAGTATGAGAAAGGAGTATGGACTTACAGAACGGACGCTGATGCTTTTGCTGAGCACTGGCATTGCTGGCATAGGAAATACCTGTGCCCAGCCTCTACCTGTGGCAATGCTCTTTGCATGAAACAATGCCAGATTTAAGAAGCTGATTTGGGTGTCCGTGTGTTTGCTCTTAAAGGTTCAAGTGAACCAGGCACAACTGCAAGAAGAGGGCTATAGGTGATGTCTATTGTCAGACCTGGTCTGGCCTTTAGATTGGAATTTAATCTAAAATTGCCCTGCATCTCTCTTCCCTCCACATTTGTATTTGGCTGCTAAGGGTGAGTATGTGGGACCAGTGCTGGGTGCCATGCTGCAGGAAGGAAAGGAGAGGAAGAGGTAAGATTATCTGATGTAGGTAGGTATTCTCCTGGGAACCCCCAACGCTTTGTGCGGCAGCTTCTCTCTTTCTCTGTCATTTCCATTTGCTCTGCAAGAAGCATGTTGCCTCTCAAAATCTCCTCCAACTGCTTTCCCAAAAGCCTTTTTATGTTTAATGTTCATCACGGATGGATGCACATACTCTGCTGGAGGTGAAATGACTCTGCTTGATTATCTGCTCATTTCTCTGCCTGGCTCATCTCCCCCAACATTACTGCCCTTTCCTTCTGATTTAAATTTGTCCACAGTGAGACCTTCTTACTGGCTTATTCCTGAATTTTTGCATTCATATTAAATATGCCTGTGTGCCCGCAGAGACATCTGAACCAGCAAACCTCCTCATCCCGAGGGAATTTCAATGGGATCAGGGTAAGGTCTGAAAACCTCGAGCCGTGGTTCCCCAAGTTGGCCAGAGCGCACCCTCATGAGCCTTGTCTTTAAAATAATCTGTGCAGCATGTTAAATAACAGCACTTACAAAAAGCTAATGCAACTTGGCATCATCCTAAAATAACTGCAGCCACGTTAGTGCTTCAGATCCTGCTGTAGGCTTAACACAGGCCTTTAAACTGGACCTGACTGATGAGATCGGGTAGACACAGCCCACACCAGTGGTCACCGGGACACGCAATCTCCTTTTCTCCCCCACTTTTCACTGTTCTTACTTCTGCATACGACCTGCAACTTGAAAGAAAATAAAATTTCATGACCATTTTGGGCTGCAGGTGCTATGCCTGACCAGCACACTAGAGAGCATGTCCTGTGTAAAGATAACAGAGCCATGCTCTAGGCGACAGGGAGAAATCAGATCTGACATTGGGCTGCCTCCCTCACACACAAAAAGTAACAAAGCTCCAGTGCTGCTCTGGTGACCAGTGCCTTCCCAGTGAGACTGAACTGCAGAAACTACTATTACTTAACTAGATTAAAGGCAGGCACACTGGCTCCACTAGTAATGGACCATGTGCTGAGGGATGAGCGAATCAGTTTGGAAATGAGAGCTCTATTACATGAGGCAGAAGCTGTAGGTGCACAACCAACACTGCCATCACCTCCAAGGCTCCTCAATCTGAGCAAAAACGCAAGCCAGGGTTTGCTGACAGTGAATGGCACGTCCTTCTTACCCTACATGTACCCATCTTCACATCATACAAAAAAGAATGAGGGGATAGGGAACTGGAGAAGTAGATGGGTGAAGTTCCCAGCTGGCCAGAAGACAGGCGGTCACGCAGTGGTCACTTCCTCATGCATGGCCCCGCTCAGCTAGGACTGAGAGAAATTTCTGCATGGCATCATGCAGGACAATCTGGGTGCTCTTCTGATCTGCCTGGCCTCAATCACTTTGCCAAATACCTTTGAAAGAACAGGCTGGAGAAGAACGACTCACCGGCACACTCATCATTGTTTTTTTAACTGTCACCTACTCTTGATTTAAACCTAAATTTTTTTTACTACAAGTTCTCCTATGGATTGTTAACCAGTAACATATCTGGGTTTTCTCAGGCCCTGGTTTTATGAGACCTATATGGGATCCACCACCGAAAGGAAAAAAAATCCAGCCCTCGGTGAACACAATTTACCACCACAAACGGGACTGCTTGTTGTTGACGCTTGCTCTTCTGAAAGCTGCAGCAAATCCTGCCTTCAGGGGGAAAAATATTGCTTATGCTGCGCCCCAGTACAGAAATAATCTAGTAAGAGGGGGCTGAAAAGGTTCCCTGCGGCACCATCCTGTCTCAGGCTATTAATTAATTTGCTTTAACTTGTATTTCCCTTGACTCCCATGTGCAACAGAGTGAGGGATGTTAGTCACAAAGATGACTCAAGTGATGGATACATACTTGGTAAACAGATAATGTGCCAGGGGACATTTGCAAATGCATATTTTTCTGGAAAACTGCAAGGAGACCATGGCTGGGAGGGAGGGAGAGGAGGAAAACCTCCCTGTGACAGCAGTGGGGAAGGCAGCCGTGTTCTCCCTCCAGCACGTGTCAGCAGCACAGCCAGGACCAGTGTTGGAAGTAACCCACGTTATCTGATGCTGTCTTTCTATGCATCACACAAAACTGTTGAAAGTTTTATAAAAGCATGAAATGTTACATACCTCTGTCTAAGTGCAAGAACTGTTACTTCTTAATATCTTTCAGCACAATACAAATACAAAACAGGAATTTTTTTTCAGAAGGTGTCTCCCTTTCCACACCTGAGACCTTGCAACAACCTACAATCCCTTTAAAAAGTCACAGTAGAAACCTAAAAGAACTGAGTGGAGACACCAGCTATTGCCGAACCCATTTACCATCATCTGTCAAAACAGATAAATAACTCCATCCAGTTTTGCTCCTCTCTAATTTATAAATCAGCACATCACTGCAGCTTGCAGTATTCATCTCTCTGGCAGGTTTCCCACTATTTTGGCTTCTAGATGTGGGGATAACAAGACCTGTCAACAATGGTTTCACCCAGGTGCAGGTGAAAGTCAGGGAAGATGCTAGCTTCTCCCTTCCCCAAACCCGTCGCAGGAGGTCTGCCCTCTCTTCTGCACCTAGACAACAGAAAAAAAACCCAAGAAGTTTTAACACACCAGCAGAGCTCATTCCAGGTAATAATACATTTCTCTCTTCTTCTCATCCTTCATCCAAATTCACCTCTTGGACCAGCTGCCTGTGCTCGCCTGCCCTTCTTGCAGGGGGATGAGGTGGGACAAGAGATGCCCCCTGCTCTCCCCAGGTGCCAGGCAGTGGCCAGGTCTCTGACCAAGCCGGTGCACGTAACATGGAAGTTTTTTGCATTCCAAGCAAGACACAACAAACTCTGGGGATTGCACAGTGGGACAGAAGGGAAAAACTGAATGTGCTGCAATTAACTGCAGCTACAGGAGCAGGGGATGGGGCTACGGGGGCACCCAGAGCTGTGCTGAGACCTCTGCGCCCAGAGGAGGTCCTGAGGGAGAAATGCCTTTTGATGTTGTTGTCATTTCTTACTATTTATAACTTTGTCCCCTGTCTTATGAAGCGATGCAGGACTGTTTCAGGCAAAGCCCCCTCCAAACCAGTCCAGCGGCTCTGGGGGCAAGAGCGAAGTGCCAGAGCACAAGGAAGATCTGCCAAGGGGCAGCACACAGTGCCCAAGTCAGGCAGGGGCTCACAGTCACAGTGTTGGGAAGCCCAAACCCCAGCTAACGACCTTCTCCTGCCAATTCTCTGGGCTTTGGGGAGGAGGCTAATAGTGAGGCATTCAAACAAAACCATTTCTGCTCTGTATATCCAGCCCTACGTTTGCTATGATATAGTTTGGTCTTATGGTAGACCAAAAAAAAAGTGGAATACATAAAGGGAGTGAGGAAGTGGAAGAGCTCAGTCCAACCCAGAATAATCACAGAATCTTCTAGGTTGGAAGGGACCTTAAAGATCATCTTGTCCAACTGTCAACCTGACTGACAAAAAACACACAACAAACAAGAAGCATCACCATCACTAAACCATACCTCCCAGCACTACACCAACCTGTCTTTTGAACACCTCCAGGGATGGGGCCTCAACCACCTCCCTGGGCAGCCCATTCCAATGCCTGAGAACCCTTTCCGTGAAAAAATTTTTCCTAATATCCAGCCTGAACCTCCCCTGGCGTCACTTGAGGCCATTTCCTCTCGTCCTGTCGCCTGTGACTTGGGAGAAGAGACCGACCCCCATCTCTCTACATCCTCCTTTCAGGGAGTTGGAGAGAGCAATAAGGTCTCCCCTCAGCCTCCTCTTCTCCAGGCTGAATAACCCCAGCTCCCTCAGCCTCTCCTCATAAGACTTGTGCTCCAGACCCCTCACCAGCTTTGTTGCCCTTCTCTGGACCCGCTCCAGCACCTCAATGTCTTTTTTATGGTAGGGGGCCCAAAACTGGACACAGTACTCGAGGTGAGGCCTCACCAGTGCCGAGTACAGGGGGACAATCACCTCTTGGGCCCTACTCCCCACACTGTTCCTGATAAAACTGAAAAACATCAGAGGCTTAACTTAGATAATTACAACAAGTGTTTATCCAGCCTGGCTGTACCGGGCACCACCAGGAGAGATGCTGCAGGAGCGAAGTAACAACACATGAGCTGGGGGACACCAGCACACCCGCCCTGGTCACCCGCTGCCACCTCGCTGTGCGCAGCACCCCCTGCACTGTGGCCAAAAGGAAGGGGATTTCTCCCCAAAGTCGGAGTGGTCGCTGCCAGCTGTCACCTTGACAAACAGGGTCTGTCCTCACCACCTGTCCCCATCTCCTGGGGAACTGTTACCTTCCCTCTTCTCCTGCCGCGGCCGCTGGAAAACCCCTGCAGGGAAACCCTGCATTAATAACACCAGTCACGTCAAAAGCCCTTCCACCCACGTCACCACAGCTGTCATGCAGCTTTAGACATGAAAATGTGCTGCTTTGTTAGAAAGTGTGCAGTTATTCACAAGAAAGGTGTGCAAATGCCCTGGGCAAAGACCCCTGATGCCCTGGGCCTCCTGACCATGCTGCTCAGCCCCTCTGGTCCCGGAGCTCCCGGTTTAGGGCCATGCCAAGGTAGGGTCCCACATTTCAGAGGCTTCTGGTGCTTCTCCAGGCTCAGAGACACACAATCTCCTGCTCCTCCTGGGGACATCTTGTGACAACTCACAACTCTTGTGACATCCAGGTAGCCCACAGCACCGTGGAGACACGGTGAGTCCTTTTGATCTGCCATCTCGGCCACACACAGGATGAGGGTGGCAGTGCCACCAGCATCGCTTTGCTACCACACAACCCACTGTAGCAACTCTGAAATTCACTGCATCTTCTCTGGGGCCATGGGAACAGGCCTGAGCACGTGCCAGTGCTGTCACTTTGGGGACTCCCGGTACGTCCCATGGGGCAGGAGGCTGTGGCCAAGGTCAGCCCTGGCCACATGTGCCCATTGCACCATCACCCCTCACTGTGGCACGGAACAAGGGGTTTTGCAGTGGGGTGGCCCATACCAGCTCAGTTCTCACCCCATCCCTTGCCCAGAGACCCACCACAGCCAGGGTAGCCTCTGCCGTGCCGCATCTCCTTTTTGTCCTTGGAGGGAACCAGGGGTTGTGGACCTCCCCAGGACTTCAGGACATCCCTGAGGAGAGCCCTGCCATGCAGACCCTCCTCCCAGGGCCTGTGGGTGCAGCAGGGACGATGCTGCAGCCATTGCTCAGCTAGTGCAGGCACAGGAACAGGGAGGAAACCTTGGTTGACATTTCTGTGACCAGGGCCTGTGGCAAGGAGCCCCACGCTCTGCACTGGGGCCAAACCTGGTCCTCGCTGCTGCAGGGACAAGGACTTCAGTGCTCAATGCCCCTGACTCCTGCTACGTGTTGCCTCTCTTGTCTGGGCAGAGAAGAAAAGCCTTGTCATCAGGGTCTCCGCCCCGCACACCCTGGGTCACTGAGCCATGGCACGTTATTCAGACTCTGCAGATAATAGTGATAACACCATCATGCTCTGAAAAGCACTTTATAGCTCCCTGATGGAGAGCTGCCCTTCAATGGTGACCAGGAAAGCTCCTTCTAAATGTTGCCCTGGGCAGGAGCTTCACTATCTACAACTGAAAAACATTTGGGATAGCAAAAAAAAATCACTTCCACGCGCACTGCAGAGAACAGCCAACTCATTCCACTTATATCAGCCAGGCAGAGCCAAGCCTAATCCATCTGAGCAGGAACACTGACAGAACAAAACTACTCCTCTAAAAATAAAACTATTCACTTTTTCAGTGAACCTGTATCAAACAATGATAAAAGCAAATATTGTATGTTACAAGGTGCAAGTATTTTGCAACAATTGGGGTAAAAAAAGTAAAGGAGCTTTCCTTGATTTCTGGATATTGTTGTCTAAATTTTGCTCCTTACATCAGAAATCTTGATATTACATTTAAGTATCATTTCCCATTAAAGAAAGCTGAAACATGTGTACAAATTAGTATTTAGAAATGCTCTCCAGCCCCTGGACATGGTGAAGAATATTGTATGTCAGCTACAGGATCACATGGATCATTGCATATGTAAATATTTCATATCTAGAACTATGTAGCTTCATTTAAAAAAAAACAACAACATATACACATAAGTCTTTACCAAAGTATAATCTTGGCAGATTTATGTTTTCATGTACTAGTGACTTCACTTTACTGAATGTTTTATGATTGTATGTTGTGCGCGTATATGCACACAGGAAAACATATGTGTATATATGTGTGTAATATATGAAGCCATTTTGATTGATTCAGAGAGCATTTTTGTACTGAAGACAGTATCCTTTTTTTCTGATATTCATGGAAATAGAAAAAGAAAAAGAAAAAAGAAAAAAAAAAAAAAACCCAAACAACCAAACAGCTTTTTAGAGCTGAGTGCCAGATGTCTGAAAGCACCCATGAGCAAAAAGCAATCCTGGTAATAACTAGCATTGTATTTCCACTCTCTTCCTTTTACATACAAAAGCCCTCATTTTTATACCAATTTCTACAAGCAACTAACTTCTCCTCCTAAGAGAAAAATGGCATGAAGAAAAAAAAAAAAAAAAAAAATAGACACTACCAGTTTTTCTTAAGTCTCTCTCCAATAAACACAATAAAGCCTTACAGTATCTTTTGAAGTCCCCAGCTTCTTCAGCCCATCCAGAGGGAGGAGATCCGCAGAATCCTTGTGAATAAACTGAACCGCCTGCTTCATCCTCCTCTGCTGGCGGAGAGACGCCGCTTCCCTGATCTCCACTTCTTTTCGACTCGGCTCCGTCAGGATACCTGAATAAAACATCTTTCCACCCTCCTACGGCTCCCTTCTCCCCGAGATGCACCTCCTGGAGAGATGGAGTCGGGGACCAGCTCTGTCGCCGGCGCTTTATAAGCGGAGCCTTGGTGACGTTTGGAGACCGGCAGGTACTCCAGCCGGCGTCGCCGAGTGAAGGAGGGGTTGGGCACATCCCAATACGTTGCACAAACAACGGCGGGTGAGCTCAGGCTCAGTCGAAGGGAATACACCAGTGCTTGTCCCTCCTCGCCCCCTCTCCTGAAAGCAAGATTAGCCCCAGGCATCCCATGGCTCTCCAAAGCCCCTCGGCAGCCTCACGGGCAGAAAAGAGAGTGACGGAGCACCGTGCACGGTGCTCCGTCACTCTCTTTTCTGCCCGTGAGGCTGCCGAGGGGCTTTGGAGAGCTGCAAACAGCCCTGGGAGGCAGCACACCTCCCAGCTGATCTCTGCAGGGCACAGCTGTTTTTTTGGCCTGGATAAGGAATCTGAAGTGTCACCGCAGGTGATGGCTGCTCAGCATCTATGTGGTCCTGGATGCTGCTGCCCCACAGGGCTGGGGTGATGGAGCCCCACATGGACTGAGTAACCAGCCACGCTGAGGTTTTGCCCAGGGTTGGTGGGGTTAGGCCGGGCTCTGGATGCCACCAGCCTCACCAAAGCATCACAGCCACTGATCTGCATTGTCCCTGTCTACTCAAGCCTCCGTGAAGGGTAAGGACCGTCACAAAAAGTGACAGTGTCCCAGCCAAACTGGGGCACTCTGAATGGGGTTTTACACTGGGTTTCTATACCCATCAAATCATAGAATCATGGAATGGTTTGGGTTGGAAGGGACCTCAAAGATCATCGAGTTCCAACCCCCCTGCCCTGGGCAGGGACACCTCCCACTAAAGCAGGTTGCTCAAGGCCCCATCCAGCCTGGGCTTGGGCACCTCCAGGGATGGGGCAGCCACAACTTCCCTGGGCAACCTGTTCCAGTGTCTCACCACCCTGGAACAAATGTTTAGGTACAGCATGATTTGACTAATCACTAGCATCTCCAATACTGATTAGTAATCAGAGTAAAACTTTGCAAAGCAACTATATTTTTGCAGCATTCTTGCTGCTTGATCCAGACATCCTTGGAGTCAGTCTTGCTATAGTTACTTATCTCTGAAGCTAGACGATGCTGGGAGGGTTTCAAAGACAAGTTAGAGGGGCTGGGATGCTGGCGTTGCCTGTGTTGTCCTGGGGTATTCTTCATGGGCTTCCAAGAAGAAAAGTCCTTATTTCTGGGGGTGGGCTGTCCTTTAGTTTGTTTCACTTAAGCATGATCAATACCAAAGTTTCCAGTAAAATTCTACTACCTCATTACATTACAGTGTATAACATGAACTAATACACACTAACAAAATTAATACACTTTCCTACTATAAAGACTGATTGATATAATGGTTAGAGAAGGAAATTTTCCCTACAGGACTCACAGCGCATATGCATTTCTTTCACTACAACAATGAGTTTTCAAATAATAGATCATCTCTCACCAGACAGAAACACTTCCCCCCCCCCGACTTTCTGCAGCACTGCTTGGGCAGCAGGAACTCACCTGAACCTTCCACTTTCAAAGTAATTTGCTGTAAGGAACAGGTGACGAGAAAATGCATCTCTGCCTCAGGAGAGACAGTACGGATCCAGCAACACCCCACATGGGTCTGGCTCTTGGTAAGCTAACAGACACCTTTGATGAGCTAGATAAAGCACAAGAATCACAGAATCACAGAATCTTCTAGGTTGGAAGGCACTTCAAAGATCATCTTGTCCAACCGTCAACCTGACTGACAAAAACAGACACCCACACAACAAACAAGAAGCATCATCATCACTAAACCAGACCTCCCAGCACTACATCAACCTGTCTTTTGAACACCTCCAGGGATGGGGCCTCAACCACCTCCCTGGGCAGCCCAGAGCTTAGACCAGGGTTTGTGCCAAGCCTGACTTCCAGGTCACTCCTAACTTTCGGGAAGAGCCAGGGTGCTGACCCCATTCACTCAGCCCAGACCAACTTTCTGCTCACCAAAATGCCATCAGCCTTTCGCCAGTTTCAGGGAAACACTTCTGTCTCTGGCAGGAAAGGGATGGGGGACGAGGAAGAATACCTCAGAAAGATACCCAAAGCAATGTAGGGGAGAGAGGAAAAAGAAGACTTCTCCTGAAAGCAGCCAGGGAAAGACATTCCCTTTGCAGCAACTGAGATATAATGGGGAAAAAAAATAAATACAAATAAAAGTAATGAAAATGCCAAGCAGGCAGAGTTGCTTTAAACCACATTCCTCTTTCTTCCTGCAGAGCATCCCACTCCTCTGCAGGCTGTGGTGAAGCCCTGAGCAGGGAAGGAGCCAGGCAGGATCCAGCCCTGGGCAGCTGTGAGCTGCAGCCAGCCCCAACATCACGGGACCAACTGTCTACCTCTTTATCTTGGCACATTTTAAACATAAAGCTTAGGCTCTGAAGGCTGACAGCAGCCCCCTTGCAGTGGTGCCCACACCACTGGCACCCCCCAGCCCCCTCTCCTCACACGGGGAATGATGCTGACACCCAGCAGGGCTGATGCCAGCTGCTGCGGTGATGCCAAAGGGGCAAACTGACACATCTGAGCTCTGCAGCCACGGCCAGACTGTGTATGTTCAGCCCCTCCTCATATGACCTAGGAGAGAGAAGAAAAAAAGGAAAAAAAAGAGAGCGCAGAACACAATAAAGCACCAGCCCATTATATCACAGCCTCACGTAAAGGCCGTTACGCATGAGCCAGCCCGAGCTGGGTGAATGTATCAGTGTGCAGAGGGATAACACAGCTGACAGGCTGAAGGGGGACATAATTTTTTTCTCCCCACACCAACCTGGCTCATGACACGACAGGACCATTGTTCCACTTCAGGCAAACGTGCCCAGGAGGATAAAAAGCACCTTATTTTTTCACCATGGGAGCTATTTGGCACTTATCCAACGGATTTAATAAAGACACACGACTACATCCGCACTCTCCCAAAGGCAAGGAAGCACAGAAGAAAGCAGAAGGACTGCCACTGAAAGCAGGAGACAAATTTTTAACTTAAAAGCTCTGTGGAGGAGCAGCGCTCTGCCTGGCATACTGGCAAATGCCCAGTCAGCTCTGGCTTAGAGCAAGAAGAATAAAGCTGCAAGAGCAGGTAGAGCACGAAAAGCCTCCTCACCCTACAGCTCCAAGACTGCAGCCTGTGCTTTAATTCAGCAAACAAGCATTTTGTCTAAGCCCTGCAATTGCCCTTCTGCTTTAAGTTATAAATGCACCTTGTGCCAGCAGATCAGAAGAAAATCTGCCCTGTGCTCAGGAGTAATAAATAAGACAAGGTCCCTAATTACCCTCTTGATTTTTAATCCTGGGAAAGAGAGATGTGGGAGGAGCAGTAAATCATCTGACCAAATTACTCAGGATCCACACTGAAACGGGGGCTCAGTTTGGATACTTTGAACCCAGAAGTAAATTTCCAATTTGGTTGGTTGGTTGCGATCGAGGGGGGATTGCTCCCTCACCCCTGCCCCCTAAGCCCACCTCGACTTCATGGTGGTGTCTCTAAGTAGGGGCAGATTTCAGAACAATTCCCATCCGCTCGCTGGATGTCTGTGCATGACCATTGCCCCTCACTCAAGAAGACAGGCCTGTGCATGACCATTGCCCCTCACTCAAGAAAAGCTCCAAGGAACAAAAAACCCCACCTTTCTTGCTCCTTCCTGGCTCCAGAGCAGCAGACACGTTTCTCTGCAAAGCACAACATCAAGGTTGGTGTCAAAAAGAGGGTTTGCAAGGCTGTCTCTGAGAAAACCCCACCAGCCTGAGGGTCCTGCCTCTGCTAGAAAGCCATGGTGCCCGATGCCCGTTGCTGCCAGCACAGACAGGCACAAGCTGGAGGCAACATGTGCCCAAGACCAGGGGCAGATGGCCCCAGCAAAGCTGCCACGTGTTTGAAGCAGGCCTTGCCCTGCGCCCAGGGCATCTGTTGGCCCAGCAAAGCAGAAGACAGAGGTGCTTTTGTCCTCAGTTTCCAAACCGACTGCTAAGAGAAAACAAAGGGAAATGCTGCTCTCCTTGGCTTTTCCAACATTCCCTGGGGAAGGCAGCACCCAACAGCAGTACAAGGATCCTTGGAGGGGAAGGAGAGGACAAGCGGCCCTCAGGAGCTTATTAGCCACCCTACTTGGAAGACAAAGAGCACAGGTCCTGCCTGCAAACACAATTGGCTTTACACAGGGTGTAAACTGACTGAGCTAAACCCCAGCAATTTTATATGCCCATTTACAGCTGATTTATACTGGCTTAGTATCCAGTCGTGCTTGCAGCTTAATCAGCATAAGGGAAGAAGAGCTGTGGAGTTTCGTTCACACCCCCATTTCATCTCTTCTCCTGACGAAAAGGAAAGAAGCAGCAGGCAAAGCAGGAAGTGGGTCGGTCCTTTTTATTTTTTTTTCTTTTCTTTGATTTCTCATCTTTCCTTAAAAAGAAGAGATGCAGAGATGCCCCAGAAAACTCAGAGTGGTATAATTTAACAGAAACAGAAGCAGCAGCAGGCAAGAGTCCCAGAAAGAATAATTTACCCCAGCACAAAGAAAAAAATTTAGAGAAAGACTCAGTTTCCAGAGGGAAGAGTGCAAAGAGCTCAAGAAAATAAAAGCAAAATAACTGATGTAGAAAAATAAGGGTTTTTGTCCATCAGTGCAGGATATGTAAGGGTCAGCTCTAGCACACTCAGGCAAATAACTGGAATAATTTGGAAACTAGAAAACAGTCTTTTCCTCAAAAGGTTGGATACAAAAATCCATTGAGCTTCTTAATCATCATTTGTAGCAAGACAAAGAGTATGGATAGAGCTGGAGAAATCCTATAACATACAAAGGTAGAATCAGGTTGAGATTCTCAAGAATTGTGGCCCATTTTGCACAGTAACTCCACACCTCTGTGTTTCCAGTACTGACCAAGAGAAAGGACCTCCTGGGCTGGGATACCCAGCCCCATCACAAGCACAAAGACTTCATGGAGTCAACTATTCTCGGGGTAGGTCTCCCCATGTACCCTGGGTACAGCTCCAACCTCCTTTCCTCCTGTGTGAGTTCTCTGTGGTGCACGAGCTGGTGGCAGCAGGGACAGAGCAGAGGCACTGATGCCAGTAGGAGAGGAATCAAATGTTGTGCAGCTTCTCACAGGAGACTGAACTGAGTTTATCTGTCTAGTTCACTTCATACA